TGAGCCGCGTCTACGTGCTGTTTTCGAGAGTCATAACGAATCGTCACGCACGCAGTATACCTCAAACTCTGAAAACTAGATTGTACAACCAGTGCGTATTGCCAGTGATAACTTACGGATCTAAGACGTGGTCTTTCACTGCTGGCGGTATAAGGACGCTCAAGGTCACTCAGCGAGCTATGGAGAGGGCTATACTCGGAGTTACTCTGCGTGATAAACTCAGAAATGAGCATATCCGCAGTAGAACCAGAGTGACCGACATAGCCCAACGGATTAATAAGCTGAAGTGGCAATGGGCCGGCGATATAGCTCAAAGAACCGATTACCGATGGGGAAGAAAAGTTCTCGAGTGGCAGCCTCTAGGCGTTAGGCATAGTGTAGGGCGGCCTCACAATAGATGGAGTGCTGACCTGGTAAGACATGCAGGAAGTCGGTGGATGGCAGGTGGCTCAGAACCGTGCTTTGTGGCAATACTTGGGGGTGGCCTATGTTCAGCAGTGGACTTGTGAAGGGCTGTAATGATGATGATGATGATGATGATAAGAAAGGGGAGTCAAAACTGTGTTGATAATGCAAGCTCTGTGAATGAAATGCTATACATTCATTGTAAGATGGCACTAAAGGGGGACCAGTTTACTAGTAAAAACTTCCAGCCAGTAAGATCGATCATTAGAAGTTGTACTTTCGGAGCACAAAAAAGCACATCGGATTTTTTTATGTTTTTCCAAACTAATGACGGATGAGTTCTAGGAGACAGCGACTCACAGGATTCTACTGCACTTTAGGGTTTTGGAGAGGGGATACTGTACGTGTAGGTGAACTATCATTAAGGAGACAAAGATTTAAAACAACAATGATATTTAAAAATGTAGAGGACCAGGGATCACAAAAATGGGAGACCCATAAAGTATGGTGCATATTAAAATCACCAAGAATGACCACAGGGATAGGGATGGACGATATAATCCTCGTGAGTTCTGATAGGATATTTAAGCTAGGTTCAGGGATGTAATAAGTAACTGATCTTGCGATAAGAATGAGAGAACCAGCATGACCATTATTCCTATCATCCCTATGGCATGAATAACCTCAGACCATCAAATAGGCCCCAGGCTTTAGCCATATCTCCTGAACGGCTAGGATGAGGGGATGGAATTTGTTAATTAGATAGGTTAATTCGTTTTTCTTATTTTTAATTCTCCGGCACTTCCACTGAAATATTGGAGGGAAGCTTATTTGTTAATGAAATGAGTTCAGTAAGTTTTTGGTGGAGGGCAAGTGGGAGATCGATCACTAAAACAGGAAAACATACTAATAAGTATGTAGATCATTGATTCACAGAGATTTTCATTATCCGATTAGAAATACTGCGTCCTATTAAAGCACAACCATTAGCGGTTGAAGAAGAAGGGGTATCTATGATTGCCTCATGTGCAGATTTATCATATCCATAACTTGATACTGGTATTGGTAGGAGTCTTGAAATGAATGTAGTCTTCCTGTAAAAATGAGATTGCGAAGGAGCAACTGAAGGTAAAGAGGAATTTGAAATAGGATAGAGACTCTGATGACTATCTGAAGGAAGGGATCTAGTAGTATCTGCATAAGTTCTCCGGACTTGGATGAAGCGGGCAGAAGCTTCTAGATAAGAAATGTTCTCCTGGGACATTGCAAGTTTGATGTCTGCCTAGAATATTCAAGGCAGGAAGGATCTTTAGCTGTGTGAGATCTTGAACAAAAAAGGCAAGTAGGAGACTGTCTTGTGTATGATATTCCTTCATGATTTTGAGCACACACAAAACAATGGGAAGATGACCTACACTGTGAAGTAACATGTCCAAAACAGCAACATTTGTGGCATTGTATAAGTGGTAAAATTTGGGGCTCAACAGGCATTGAAGTGAAAAAGCAATAAATGTTACACGGAAGTTTCTGCCCAGAAAAAGTTAAAACAACTGTTTGAGAGGGAATACACATAGTGCTATGGTTTTCGTGACAAGATTTTTTATCAAATCTGCGATCTTTAATTATTGAGCCAAAACCAGCGGGGACCTTGATTGACGAAATTAATTCCACTAATGTCCACTCCACAGGGACCTGTCTTACTATTCCCATACGAATGACATTATAGGAGGGAATTACAGTATCATATTTAGCACCTGCAGGAGCAGGGTTCTCAATAAAACAATTTTGTTCTCAATAAAAAGCTGCACTTTTAAATTCCACTGAGATTCTATTGCGCCCTATTCGTTTAACACCGTCACTAACAACACCTTTAATATTATTATGGTAGAGAAAATGACCAAACTTTATCGGTTTTAAAACTACTCAGAATGATAAATCATTTACTATCTTACTGTACCATAAAGGGCGTATTGTCATCATTATTTATGCCTTTTTTCTATGAAGTCAGCATGAATATAAGAGGACTGAGTAGATGGTACAGGTTGAGATGGATCTGTAATTAATCTTTTCTGAGGATGTTCTGAATAATTGGATACCTGTGGTCTTTTACGATTCAATAGTTCGATTTCCATCAGTATATTTTTTTTTTTGGGAATAGTATAGGAGGCACATGGATCGTGATGTCTTCCTCCATTTTACTATAACTAATTACATATAAAACAACACCTTACGGATTTATAATTACTAAAACCAACACCAACACAAAGAACAAACAAAAAAAGTAAATCAACAGATCTTAGAAACATGAATTAGCCAAAAAACAGAACGACGCTTGTATACCTTACACCTCCTCATGCTGCGGCTACACTAACGAGCAACGTCAATGCCCATATACACAACAATTATTGTCTTAAATTTAACGCGATAAAAAGAGGGGCTACACTTGAACGTTAACGTCATTTCAATTTCAACGCCGTTGAACGGCATTAAATTTGCCGTTGAACAGCGTTATATGTTCCTTGAATATCAAGCAAGATGGACGTTGACACAGCTATTCCATATTTGATAAGTGTAAATGTTTATTATATGAATATATTTTATCATTGTCAAACTTTTCGTGGCAGAGCCATGCTGCAGTTATATTAGTAGTAAAGTTGTACCACGTATGGGTCGGCTCGGCCGGGGAAGGACCACGCTCTCACAGAATACCAGCGTAAAATAGTAGCTTAATGCTGCTGTTTCGTATGGTGAGTGTAGAGAACCGGAGAACCTTTTTACTGGAAACGAGGCATTCCATCCTAGTCCTCACGGGTGACAACGCATCTGCATTTTGATTCGTAATCGAGGATAGATTTAGATGTCTATGGGCCATAGTATCCACATACCATCAGGTGGACTGTGTGCTCGTTTGTCACCCTATCCTATAAAATAAAATAAAAACGAAGAAAAAAAGAATACAAAGAAAAAGAAGATGGTGGATGCTACAAATGCACAGGAAACGTATACTGTAAATCTATTTATGTTTTATTTTGTTTTCCCGCACCCAAATTGCACTAGAAAGACGTCCAATGGTTTAAGCTAAGTAATAAGACAAACGTGAACATATTTTAATGAAATAATAACTAATAAGCCAATCATAAATACTGGTCATGTGCGAATTAGATACACGTACCCAGGGATTCGTACCACTTTATTTTTCTTAGTTTCATACCGTAAATTAAAGTGTACTTTTGAAGTAATTTTTTTTAATTCAATTTCGAAAAGCTTTTTCATTACTCCACTCCATCGCAGCCATACGTGCAACCTCGTTGCACTTACCGTGCAACCTCGTTGCACTTACCGTGCACAGTGAGACAAGACAAACGTAGTGTGGCCGCTTCAACGCGATAATTCGCGCGCTAATCCTTTGATGTACCGCCACTCAAGTTATCGCCATACGGGAAACGGCATTGTTAATGCCGTTGTCAAATTATCGCGTTAATTCGTGGCCACACCTACATTCAACGTCCATCAACGCTAAAGTTGTTCAAAAGGACTATAAATCAATAGCACACTACAGACTATAAACTATAAATTTCTAGCGCGCTATTAAATACGCTATGTTATAGCGCGCTATTTATAAGAAAGCGTGTAGGAGACCGGTAAGCGTGTTAAGTTTTGCAGCACGTTATATCTTTTAGCACGTTACATTACATGTCGTTCATTGGATAGATCGCGTGCTATATAAGAACATTATTTCGTAATAAGTCGCATTTTAGACTAAAATGAAATAAAGCGGTAAAGAAAAACCAATGCATGCGATTTTCATACTTTTCGGGCTTACTACTTTCTATAATCCTAAAAATATTTTTAAGTCATGTACTTTTTAAATAGAATTAATTTTTTTTTAGAATCGAAATAAAATTAATTATTTTTTATTATAATTGACGTAATCATTATTTTAACCTTAATATAAATTATAAATCAAATAAAGGTGTATTTAAAAGTTTATTTATTGTATTTATAAAAATCAATTATTTACATACACTATTATATACACTTTTGTATCTATATTTTATTTGCATTTTATAAACATTAGTTAGGCTTCTTTTATCACAACTGTGTCCTTTGATCACTTACAGTATACACTAACTAAACAACGCCTAACATTAAATTAGGTCGCACGCGATTAATAGCGCGCTACGAGATCAAATTTGCGACACACGTCCTCTTCCAACAGCGCTGCTGCTAAAACTAATTGCCGCTAGATATATAGCGCAATAGCGACATGGCGACTACTTACATAACACGCGCTATGTGTTATGAAGAGATAGCGCGCTATAATATGGCGCTATGCGCTGTATTAACCACCATTAATCAACGCGATAATTAATGGCATTTCTCCTTAGTGTAGCTGCAGCATTAGGGGAATTCAACACCAATTCCATTTGACATTTAAGTGGCTGTACAATCTTAAGGCCTATGACTGGATATAATAAACGTAAATTAAAAAAAACATTTTGGCGGGGAACATACAAAGTAGCAATATATTTTATTCTCTTAGTGGGAAAGTTAAGATAGAAAGACTTGCTTAGGCCGGGTTTAAAATTTTCACAATGTCTTATCCTATTGATTATTTAAAGCAGGGAGGGAGGTTTTATTTATGTTGGTTGGCAGATACGTGCCCGCTGCGATTTACGACTATTAGTCGCAGGCAGTTGTACTCTCAGGATATTCGAAAAATATGGTGAGTTAATTTTTACATTTTTAACTTTTCAACCGACCATATAGGCAAGGATACAGGTTAAAATAAGGGGAGGGTCTTCATTGGACTATATTTTTTATGTATATTACTTCAGAACTTTTTTCTAGGTGAACTGATTTTGATGCTTCTACAGAGGCTAGTGATTCTCATGTGGTCCCATATAAACTTAATCAAAATATGACCAGTAGTTTTTAGTAAACTTTAATAATACGTATTTAATTGACTTGGACTACAATATGTTCTCATTTTATTTATGTTGAAGTCGGTTGTACAAAATATTTAATTATATCACTTGTTTTATCTACGGTCAGTTTAAATAATATGAACTATTTTATGTAGCGCGAAATAATGATTATGCTTTCAGTGATGATTTACTAGAAGTTACGACAAATGAGTCCAGTGATCCGGCAGCAAGATTTTCTCTGCGCTTAAGTTCCCAGTTGCTTAGGGGCCTGGTGAGACTTTATTAAAGATAAGTTAGTGTTCTACTAGGTTAGTGTATTAATATTTATAATACATTTAATATTGCACTTGTGTCAGTACTTAATTTAATGAACTTCTATCTTACAGGGGATCTCTGCATGATTAACGCCGCTATTTTAGAAAAAACAAATAAAAAGTAAGTTTTGGTTTAGTTTTTAGTAATTCATTTATTCGTTACTATTTCTTATAATATTTACTTGTTAGAAATTGGTTGTACAGTGATGTTCAAGTATAATTAGTTCTACATATTCTACCTCAATGGTGTGCAAATAATAATCATGTAACTTATCAACAATATTTATCGAATTTTTAACAATACATAAGTTATTTTTAATACTATTTAATTTATTTGATAATTAATTAATTATGTAACAGTGTCAGAGAACATGCCAATTTAAGATTATTATTTTAGCTTAATGTTAAATATTAATATTCATTTGTCAACCATTGCCTAAATAATGCCAATTATAAATGTCACATATCCAAGTATCATTAAGGTATTGTGGTAATTATCTCAAATTTATTAATTGATTATTCAAATTATATATAAACTAACATAATTTATTATTATGTATATCTTTCATGTCATTTAAAAATTATGTTGGAATGGTTTTGTTAGGATGTTATAGGGTAGGTTAAACAGATTACCTTTAGGGGTAAACATGTAGGTTTGGCTTCATTAAATCCAAAATCATCAAAACAGTAAACACACATTCTTAAAAATGTTCAGGAGTATTATAAATACTGTGAAAGAACACTAAATACATTTAATTTTGCCCTCAGTAGTTATATCCCAGTAATAGGTACAGTGCTATTTGTTGTTATTAATTAAGATATTTGTACATATGATGTAACTCATCTCAACAATACAGTGAGATATCAAGTTCTGCAGCTTATGCTGTAAAAATAAGTCTTACCAACATTGAGACCACGCATTGCATCCATCCATCTGTTACAGCCTATCAGAAGTCCACTGCAGAATATACACTGCCAATAGATTGCCTCACAGGGGGATATTTGTCATTGTTGCCAACCTGGTAGCCAAGTGCAAGCGAGTTGGCAACCATATTTTATTTTGTGTTGCTATCAGATATATAATTCATAGATTTACTGTGTAAATACTAGAGACTATGATTAATAAATGAAACAACGTACTTTTGTGAAACAAAAAATTTTACAAAACAATAGTAATTATTACATAAACTAACTCTCTGACTCTATCTTACTAACCACAGACCCTCAATACATTAGTTATGCCTGGCAGGACTTAAAGCTTTAGTAAGAACATCTGTTGGCATTTCAGTTATTGGCAAATATTGTAAAATAATAATATTATTGTTAACTTTAGCTTTTATGAAATGGTACATAATATCAATGTGTTTACTCTTTCTATTACAAACATAATTTGCCACCAACCTCTGTGCACTTTGGCTGTCATTATACATTGTTACAGTACAAAGGTAAGTAAGTTCATAAAGTAAAGATCTCAAATAAATGATTTCTTTACATGCCTCCTCTATTACCATATATTCCAACTCCATGCTTGATAATGCAACTGTAACTTACCATATATGATCAGCGATCTATAGCATTACTTGCCTAATCGGCATAAATATATCTAACAAGCTCAGCTGTTTCCTTTACATACTTTAGGCAAAAATTCTTAAGCCACATGTTCGTTGAGAAACAATGTTTCAGATATACAGTTTCTGAAACATCACGTAGATGTTTCCAGGTACAATGTTTTGGAAACTCTGCCGTCACATCAGTTGCTTGGCTGCCAAAGTATTATATTTTCATAATTCCAATGAGCCATGGTATTTTACTTATTAAATTGACTAAAAAAACTAACATTATAAGAAGTATCAGATCTTGTAAGAGCTGATAAAACATTAAACTTCCAATTAATTGTTGATATGGAATTTCTTGATGACAGTATTCTGACTTATTGATATCTAATTTACATTGAATACTAGCAACGAGTGAGACAAAGAGTACTAGCAACTTTACAATTTAACATATAAAATTTTTCCAATAAATGTTCTATTTACTGTTCCTGATCTAAGGTTAATAAAATTTGATTTTTTATCTATTTTAACCGAATGAGAATTGATATGTGGTAGAGCCACACTGCAGCTATATTTTGGTTATAGCACGAATGGGTTGGCTCAATCAGGGAAGGACCACACTCTCACAGAATACCAGTGTAAAATAGCAGCTTAATTCTGCTGTATTTCATATGGTGAGTGTAGAGATCTGGAGAACCTTTTATACTGGAAACGAGGCTATCTATCATAGTCCTCAGGGGTGACAACGCATCTATGTTTTCACTCTTAATTTTTAACACATTCTCTGCCGTCGGTCATGTTTTAAATGCAATACTCCATACAAAGTGACCGCCACGGCAGTCAAATGCTTAAAAAAAAAGAATATTAACAATGCTAAAACATTACTAATATTTCCCCAAACCACTCGTGGTAAGCTTAATTGCTTGTGTTACGAGTGGTTCACGCCAGTAGTTGAATGGCGGATTCGAACCCACAATCTTTTTGAGTTTGCGGTCCGCGCCCTGCCATTAGGCTACTGTCGCTTCAAATTAATCAATCTATGGGCCACAGCATCCACTTACCATCAGGTGGACTGTGTGCTTGTCACCCATATTCTGTAAAAAAAACAGATCTATTTTGAAGGTAGGCAGCGGTATTTGTGAGCTCTGCCCAAATTTTTTATCTAATCCTACATCAAATAATAAGCAGTGAACCCGTTCAACAATTGTTTTATTGAATAATTCACTCATACAATTTTGCTCCAGTGTATAAATAGTAGTTTTCTGGTAAACTATACCAGCCTGTTTTAAATAATTTTCAAAATCATTGCTACAGAACACTGAGCCATTATCAATCCTAAATAATTTAACTTTTCTGTCTTTTTGATTTTCTAATATACTTTTTAACTCCTTAAAGTACATTATTACTTCAGTTATTGCTTTTAAAAAATAAACAAAGGCCATGTGGGAATGGTCATCAACAAAAATCAGGAAATATCTGGGTCCACCAATTGAAGTAGTCTCCATTAGCTTGCAGACATCAGCGTGTATTACACCCAGAGGTTCACTACTCCTTGTACCAGAGTGACCAAATGGCAACCATGATTGCTTTCCTTCGCAGCATACTGTGCACATACTTTTGTTGATTACTGACTTATCTGTGTATGATATTCCCGTAACTGCTCCATCCTTCATTTTATTCTGGTCATTTATATTCAAATGGCTTAATATTCTATGCCATACTTCACTGTTAACACTCCAAGTAGATGTAAACAAACATTGTTTATGTTTCATGACCAGCTTGTAAACACCTTCTTGGTTCGCCACAGCAACTAAATTGTTTTTTTTTTATTGTAAACAACAGCACTTCTCTTTAAACTCCACATTGTTCCCATTCTTGCTAAGTCGACTAATGGAAATCAAGTACGTTGTGAGGTTAGGAACACAGAAGACATCTTTCAATGTAACTTCATATTCGGAATAACTGTTATGATTTACACATAACCTGAACACAATACAGGCATGGCATTTTGATTTGCTATATAATCTCCTTGACACTATCTGAATATGATGCATTTAGTATCTTATTTACATCCGCCGTCAGTCGTCATATGAACGCTTGCGCTGCTACCTATCTAATCATATATCTAAATTCTAATTATAAGTTTTTCTCTGTCTGAACGTTGATGTCTTCTTCATATGCATATGCACATGGAGGTTTCGGGCCTCGGGGTAAGCCCCCATTACCCGTGCTGTCCTCGCGGTCCACCACTATGGACCGGTCCTGGGAGCCTTCTATTGGCATTGTAGGTGTCAAAAATACGGATTGTCCGTAATCGGTAAAATTTTTCGTAGCCGGTTAAGACTACGAAAAAAGAAGGTTATCCAGTAAAGTCAAGGTTGGCCTTTCAGCGGCATTGAGGGGTGTTACTCGACTCTCTAATCGATATAGAGAGGAGTTCTCTTGGATAGGGTCGCCCGTCCGGAGGGCGAGTGTGTAGCGGCGCTAAGTTGTTAAGATGTATATGCGGCCCGTTGTCTGCACGGTCGAACAGTCCGCGCGCCAACCGGGCCACAAATTCCTGTATGGTGTCGATCTTCAGGTTGGCCGCTATGACGTCATTCCGGACGTAGCGACCCGCACCGACGATGGTTCTTAACGCCATGTTTTGCTGGGCCTGCAGTCGCCGCCTCAGAGGCTCACTCAGAAGCGCGTACCAGGCCGGAGCAGCATAGGTGATGATGGCTCTGATGTAGGTTTTGTAAACACGCACTTTGGTATTAAGTGGTAACTTGGATGCCAGGACCGGACGTAGCATCGCCCGCGCACATCGTGCTCTGCGGACGACGAGGTCGACGTGCGCAGTCATGCGCAGCGCCCGGTCGATCCGGCACCCAAGGTAGGTCACGGCCTTCTCGTACGCGATCTGCTGGCCATTGAGGGTTAATGGAGGTGGTAGATTCCTGAGGCGGCGAGTGAGCAGAGCGGTCGTCTTACCAACGTTGACGACCATCCTCCACTCATCTAGCCATGGTGGCAACAGGTCCAGGAGGCGTTGCATCCTGGCAGCGGCAATATGGGCTCTTCTGGAAGAGGTGAAATAAGCGCTATCGTCCGCATATAACGCCAATTCCACGTCGTCCTCCCATTCTTGCAGCCTTCTCTGTCTACAATTCCTGTTTATATTTATACTCTTTGCATAGACAATCAGCCGCCATGATGATGCTTTTTATTAACTGGCTTGACGGCTCTGGGTTCTAGCCTTTCTGAGCCAATCATTTATTTCGGAATCTTCATTATATATTTTTTTCTTCACAATATGCTGATGCGTCACATTGCGATGCCCTTGGGAGATTTGACGACAGCTCAACCTAGCGGACAGTTGATGACGACAGCCAATCAAGTTTATAAGGCGCCCAAGCGATCAAAATAACTTGAGGTTTATATCGACGTCCAAGCACTTGTTTTGTCATTTTCTCTAAAAATTCACACGCTAGGATACTTAATTCACAAAATCGCATTAATTTTATGAATCAAAATCCACTTCAAACCATTATTCAAGCGACAAAACAGGAACGACAATCTGTCTACGGCCAAGTTCCCGCCAAAACTCCCACGATGGTTATTTGAGCTGTTATTCCATGGAGTATAGAGGACAGTCTCCCATAGGAGAATAGTTGAAAATGTGTATCCGGTAACGTCACCCTCATTGAGCGCATTCCTACGGACACTTTTTATACAGAGTGTACTCCATACCTCTACACTCCATATGTTATTCGTAGCTATGGAGTACCTCTACATCATATATTAATGGACTACTCCATACTAAACTCCATGGCTTTAGCAATACTGCCAACTTTATTACAATTGTGCTGTCCTCTACTCAAAAACGCACTTCCAGGTTCGCAGTGGCCGTTAGCCGCAAAGTCAATCAACTTTATCTTCACTAAGTCACCTGTAATGGCGATCCCAGAATGTTCAATCGCCATTATTATTGGGAAGTATTTTTCAAGCAAACCTGCTAGGGCTAGAGCACCCGATGCACTCGTCATTCACTGAGAGACATGTTTTTGCTAATTTCTGTACTGTATCTATAATTTGCGTGACATAATTCGTCATTGAATCGCAGTTGTCGAGACGAATTGATATCAGGTTTCTTAATAAACTTATTCTCCGAGACAATCCAGAATCATCGAACATGGTCTGTAGTTTTTGCCACAAATTCCTTGTACTTGACGCGTCTTTGATGTGCGCGTACATTGATGGGTCGATCGTCAAAATTTGGCTTTGGATTTTGCATCTTCTGCGGCTGCATCCTCAGCACGCTCCCTTTTGATAAAATGATCTGTGCCCTCCAAGATTAACAGACTCTCCGTAGCAAAAGATCATTCATGATAATTCTCGCGCCCTTTCAACTTAGGCACATTGGTCAAGAATACCTTGGAAGCCATTACTATTAATTTTCCAGTTTTATGTGCAACCCAATTGTTAAACACAGGGCCTATACCTATGCTGGCGAAACTAACTAAAATATACTTAAAAAGAATCCCTAAAGAAAAACCTATTATTACTAGATTACTGTATATGCTAGAGACTATTATTAATAAATAAAATAACGTATTTCTTTGAAAGCTGATAACTAATAGGTTATTTCAAATAGAGATAAGCACAGATTATCCAAAAACTAGTAGTTCAAACATTACAACCATAGATAGCGCTAGTTTGCTTTTTTGATGTTACCATTTTATAACTATTTTTAACAAGATAGATGCTCTTATAACACCCACAGAATGATATTGTGAGTCTCTCACGACGTCACTTCACAGAAAACTACCAGTTTACTTTAGTTATTTTCATCGCATAATGTAGTATCACAGTTTAATTTAATCTTTAAATTGTGGTAGTACGGTATTTGGCTTGGGCAAACGCGACTGACACCTATTATTTATTCTGTACTGAAACTGAAATTATATTTTTTATCACAATAGGTTCGTCTATAACAATAATTTCAATCTATAAATTCAATAAATTCTGGTTAAACCGCATTAAGTACTTTCAAATTCCTGTGCGAAGATGTCGACACTAGACAGACGCTGATAACCAACTTCGTTTTCTACTATAGATGGATATTACATGACGCACCCATATATACGGAGAATGTCCAGCGTCCGAGACTTCAAATAATACTACAAGAAGAGCCAGCAAATGTTGAAGATGAAGAAGACGAAGAAAATGTTGAAGAATTACTACGGGTATGTTAATATGCGTTACTTTTCATAACATATAACATAAACTCACGTCTGTCACCCAGAGGGGTAGGCAGAGACTACAGACTTCCATTTGGCACGATCCTGACACACCTCTCTTGCCTCCTTCACATCCATACACCTACGCATACATGCTCGTCGGTTAAGGGTACTCCTAATTTGGCCCGTTTTCAATAAATCGCCAATTTGGTCGATAAATTTTCGCCTAGGACGTCCCTTTCCGACTCTGCCATTCACTTCTGCACCATAAATTTTCTTTGTCACTCTTTCCTCATTCATTCTCTCCACATGACCAAACCACCGAAGCATTCCTTTCTTAATCCTGGTCACAACATCATCTTGCAAATCACACTCTTCTCTTATTACACAATTTCTTACCCTGTCATTCAGATTCAGCCCTAACATACTCCTTAACGACCGCATTTCTACTGCGTTTATTCTACTCTCGTGCTTCTTCTGCCACACCCAACTTTCACTACCATACGTTAAAGTAGGAACCAACACAGCATTGTGAATTGCCACACGTGCCTTTTTCGACACATTTTGACTCTTCACAATAGAGTGCAAGGCCCCATTTACTCTATTTACTTTTCATAACTACTTGATTATTTGTTGTTTGGTTACTATGTGAATCCTTCCACCAAAAGCTTAAGGCGCCGACTGTTACCGAAAATCCATCTAAAAACGAGGAATTCAAAATTTATGGACTCGTGGATAACACTTTCAAAAAAGGCATAGGAATTTATAGGGGGGCCAAATTGAGAAACCAAAATTTCTGGGCAATATTCTAAAATGTAATAACATGGTATGAATCAACAGAAACAGTTATGACATCATGGGCGCTTTCCTATTCGCCGGTACGACCCCTTCGTTTTTCCAGGTGCTGGTGTAGATTTACGCTTGGCTTTCTAACTAACACAGACTTAAGTTCTACAATACGTACACAATACACATGCAGTTTTACCGGGTAGCATCGAGTGGGACGCCTGCTGTCCCGGCGCCAGCGACCTGCACATGCCATACGTTTAATACATTTTTGCTTCTCCGGCAACTGGGCCAGTGCCGGGGCCGGTGCCGTGCCGGTGAATGGAAAAGCGCCCATTAGCGCTACGATCAACTTCGATTCACGCAAGTGGCGGTCTGCACTGGCCAGCAATGGTACCAGTCATAGACTCATGAGCACGTGATGCGATGACGAGGCGGAGCGTGCTTTCATTTTTACGGGTTATTTTGCCTAAAACCATGACGTTGAACAATCCAGCCAAATCTCACCCATGTGGCAACCCTACATACTAGCCTGAAAGGCCCTTAGTTTATGACCGTCATGTTCTTAAAATTCTGAAGTGGAGGAAGAAAAATATAATGTAGTTGTTTTAAAAATTATAATATATTTGTCCTTATAATTTTTCTTTGCTGAGAAACTTTTCCTTTTATTATTGGATCGAGAGTGAAAAAGCGATGTTCGTTTACATACCTTTTAAATACATTTAATTTACAACCCGTCCCGTTTGGCTAGCAACTAAACCCAAGTGTCTCTGGCTGGATGAATTAACGGCCGGCTTCCTGCGTAGCGATCCTAGATTTCCTCGATTCACATAAAATACTCTTTTTTGGATCCTATTAAGGCTGTTCAAGCTGCACATTTTGACCAGGACATTACGTCCGTATCTATAAACGCCGTCAATACGAGGCATTTGAAGGAGGCTGTGAAACGTCTTAAACCGCGTTCATCCAGTGGGCCTGATGGCATCCTTGGGTTCTTGGCTAAAGATTGTATAGCTGTACTGGAGGGGCCTCTCTTGCATCTCTATAACCTTTCAGTAACTAATGCTAGGTACCCTTAAATTTGGAAACTTTCCGGGATTACACCAGTGCCGTAAGGGGATGGGAGTATGAACGTGTCAGAATTTAGACCAATTGCTGTCTTATCAGTGTTTGTTGAAATATTTGAGTCTATTCTCATCAAACATATTAATAATCAGGTTAGCCATTTGTTACACAATAGCCAACACGGTTTCCGTAAGGCTCGTTCTACCACTACGAACTTATTTGCGCATGTAGACTACATATATAAGGAGATGGATAATTACAAACAAGTTGACACGGCATACTTCGATTTCAGAAAGGCCTTCAACCTCATTGACAACGACAAACTGTTAGAAAAGTTGGCATTTATTGGCTTTACTCCCAAACTCATTCGGTTTTTCGCATGCTTTCTGAATAATCGATGTCAGTATGTGCGGGTGAACGGGTATAATTCCAGCGATTACTTCACGAGATCAGGCGTTAGTCGGGCAGTACGTTGTGTCCAACCCTCTTCCTGCTCTTTATAAATGATCTGCCGAACACCGTTTGTTTTTCTGAATGCCTCCCCTTTGCTGATGACTTAAGACTCAGTCTGGGTATTGAATCTGAATCAGATACCATAAATCCGAAAAAATACATTGATGTGGCCTTGAATTGGAGCCAAGAAAATCTATTACCTTTAAATAATAATAAGTGCAAAATAATTACATTCACTCGAAAACCTAGAGCAATTGTAAAGGGGACAATCATTTTTGGGCCCACTAAAAATATTAACGTCCACTAATGGTATTACATCAAAAAAAAGACACCAAATTATAATAGTAAATGGCCTACAGATTTTTCGAAAATGTAAACGGAATCAAGAAATACGAAAAAAAATTAGTTGTTTTGATATTCGTGTTCTGATTAGTGTAATATGGGTAAAATGCGTGTACCTAATTAGTCATTTTGCAGCTTGTATAAAAAAGAAAACTATTTTTTCACAAAGCTGACTTAAAAAAAGATACCACTAAGAACTTTATGTTTAATTTCTAAAAATTTTAGCTAATATCACGTTATAACATAGTTCTAAATGACTGTGAACCAAAACGTTATTTTATCATTGACTTCCGGTAATTCCCAGCGGCCGGCGGCCGGGTACGGCGGGGCGGGGCGGCGGGGTATTACCTACGTCTTTAATCTTAACGGCATTGACGTTCGTTACGCTACTGTTTTTTTGTATTTATATGCGATTTTAAGAAAATGGAATCTGCTAGATCAGCATACAATGAAAATAGAAGTGTATGTTGCAATTGTGGAGTCAGGTTTCAACGCAGTGTGCGAAGACAATTACTGGCCGAGACAACTGCTGATGTGCGCCAACTTTTATCTGTGTGGATTTCTCATGAGGTAGGTATAATATTATCTCATGGAAAGCTAATCACTGCACTATACAATCTATCTACTTACATATTATCTAGATTTAAACTTTTATGAGAAATATATATTATTTTTGTTACTCTCGATTTTATTCCAACAATATTACTATACTGCGGAAACGAAAATTATATATTTTCTTTATTAATGTATTACTTAATATTTTTATTTTTGTTGAATAATATGGGATATGGTACGATTTTTTAGAAATAATACGAAAGAAAACGATCCACAGACTCCAGGCACACATAACGATCTATACATGATTAAGTACTTAATTATTTTAAGTTTTTAAAAGTAATAATAAATATCCCTTCATATTATTAATAAATTCATACCTTCTATAGCTATAATTTTAATCTTTCGTTATATTAAATTGATAAATGATATATTATATTGATTGAATTATTTTATATTTTGACACAAGATGACACTGCATTCTTTCCTGCTATTTACCAACTTACAGGCATAGTTCTTTGCATTGACTCCATTGACTGGCATTGACTGTAAAAATATAATATGGCATAAACTTGTTTGTTTAAATTGATGTAAACTGTGTTCGTGTTAAAGTAAAAGTTTAAAAATGAAAATTCACGTAGTTTTACTGCTTACAAGTGGATTAGTATGTTAATGTCTAATTGATGCAAAAAATGTTTAACCTAAGGGTTATATCATGCACGTAAGTCAAATATTAAATACCTATATCACATTTATGTATATAATTTGCCAATGACATTCGAAAATGCAAACTGACGAGTAAAAGTCCATGTGAGTAATATAAAAGTTTATTTTTTCCTCCTAGAATTTTGTAAAATCTATAACTTATACTGAATTAACCTTTAACAAATGATAAACACAGGTCTTACTAATGTGTTAAATGTTAAAGTATTGAAGTTTTATGTTATTAGTGAAATCTAATTTAAATAATAGATAAAATAAAGTCACACAATATACACAAAAGAAGTTTTTGTGGCATGGTATGATGTATCACATGTTATGTGTGTCTAATTATCTTTTGTCAGTCAATCAGAAATCAAAGTCGAAAAAGTATAGGTATATATGTGTCAATATTTATTCTAAGGATAAAATATTATGTAAATAGAAAAGTAAGTTATTTTGTGCAATGAAAAATATTTCAATCCACTGTAATATTACCGTTACAGCCAATTAAACTCCACTGCCGAACATAGGCCTCCCCCCATATATTACTAATATTACACAACTCCATAATACTCTAATATTATAAAGTTTATTTATCACTATATGATATACCTGAAATACTGTAAATATTGTAAAATCATAATATATTAATCGATATTTGTCTTTTGGATTTCCAATTTTTTTTTAATTGAAAATGTATTGTATTTCAAATAATATAGGGTTCCACATCAAACATTCACTTTCATGCCAACTTCGCTTCCCTCCTCAAAATGTACATTTATCTGAACTTAATATTTATTTACTCTTTTATTTTTAATTCCTGATTTTTTCAGTTACACCCACTTGATGCAGTTTGTTGTAACTGCCTAAGAATATTGCAAGAAAGTGTTGCATCAGCTCACTCCATTAGAAGATTTGGGTACAGGAATATTTGTATTCCATGTGGATCTTCAATGTTAAGAGCACACCGTAGACGGATTGTGCCTATTAACTCTGAAGAAAGAGATATTATTTTGCAGTGGATACCATCACACCAGGTACTTACCTTATTTTAAAAGGCTGTAAATGGTCCCCTGCCTCAAATAGGCAGCCCAGAGGATTTGCCACAATCGCTTTGGTACACAGATTGATGTTTGTAAAATCAGACACCTTGCATACAATTTGGTCTGATATTTATGCTCATTCAACATGGCAGTTCACTAACAGGTTATCTTTAAATTTACAGTCTACCAAAAGTCTACTGCTGAACATAGATTGTCTTATGGGGGGATATTTGCCATTAATAACCAATTTTTTTATTTTTAGTTATTAGATGAACGATACTTCTTCCTTATCTTACACCCATATTTGTATGCTTTTGTACTTATTATACAAGTAATATTTTTTACCTTAAAAGACATTAGTATAAATAAAACGGGTTGGGTTTACAATTCGGTCGCCTCAATTTGAAGATTCTGTTACTGTGGGGGGGCGTCAAGGGAGTTTATCTGAAGCACCTACACGCGAGTTTTGCTACCGGAGCAGCATCGAAGTATTTTTATTTATTTTTTGAAAATATTGGTAAACAACTAATTAATTAAATATTCTCACGTTTTTGACGTTTTATCTGTCAATGTCATATCGATATATAGTACTAAATCGATCTAGTGAATCGATATTTCACCCTAGAGAATCAAGATCAAATCTTTTCTGTTTTGTTAAGATTTACAAAATTATTTATAATTAGTTGAAAGTACCCCAACTCGTAAAGAATGACAGTTTTTCAATTTAATCATTCAATGTTATCTGAAACTTTAAAGAACTTGGGCTTAGTGAAATATTGTTAATAATTCTAAAATAATTACTTCTTGTCTGATATGTGATGTATTATTTATTTCTATTTAAATAAGTAGTGCCACAAAAAATATTATGAGGGGAAACAATTGCATGCTAATATTTATAATTTTAAAAGACATTAAAACTATTTAGTGTTAGAAAGATTGAAATAAATAGAACAATAATAAATATTATTAATATTTAGAGTAGACACTGTAAAACTATAGTTCATTTTGTTAGTTGATAAAAAATAACTTTTTTCAGGTGGATCGTTTAGAACGAGTATGCAGTCCTTGCTGGCTGAGGGCTTCCAGAGCTGTATGGAGACAGAGACAACAAAATGAGAACAGGGATATTGAGCTACAATCCATGAATATAGAAGACATCGGTAACATCCCACAACCACCCCCTATACCTGCACCTGTAACCCCTGCCATTTCCAGAGCGGCATCAACAATTACTATGGCTAATTATAAGCGTGCTGCTTCTACTTCCCGTCACTGTATTTTTAAGTCATGTAATCATTCATCTAGATTTTTAATACCTAAACTACTTAAAGAGAGATTGCTGATAGATCACTCATTTTATGTGCCACTGTGCGCTCGTATTTGTGAATACCATTTAAATGAACCCCACAATGATTGGAATAATTTATTCACGAGTAGTAACTGTTCAGATTTTACTGCATCTCAGATAGACAACCTTTGTTCCTTACTTAAAAGTAGTGTTACTCAAAATTATAATATTTTAAATATCATTGAACATAATTCAATATTATGCAAATATTGGTTAGGATTTACCAAATACCAATTTGAACAGTTACTAGTTGAAATTCCATCTATCAGTGAAAGAGTTAAATCACCTAAAAGAAGTCTAGCTATGTTCTTAGTGAAACTTCGTACAGGTGATAGCAATGAACGCATAGCTTCTCTATTTAATGTAGCTTCATCGACTGTGTTCAATCACTTAAATATTGTAAGTCAGTGCTTTGAAGAGCAATTCATCCAACTGCATTTAGGGACAAATACCTTATGCATTAAACAAGTTGCTCAATATAACTTGACAATACCAAATGGCTTGTTTGGTAATCCAGATATGGATCCTGAATTTATGCCAGCCATAGTAATATGTGATGGTACATACATTTATGTGCAAAAAAGTAGTAATTACTTATACCAGAAGCAAACATATAGTTTACATAAGTATCGTAACTTAGTTAAGCCATTTTTAATAGTGTGCTGTAATGGTTATATCCTTGATGTTTTTGGACCATATCCTGCAACAGAATCAGATGCTTCTATAATTCTTAGACTGTTCAACGATAGTAGTCCACTGCGAACCTATTTTAGAGAAAACGATGTATTTATTCTTGATAGAGGTTTTAGGGATGCAATTCCATTCTTGCAGCAATGTGGTTATAAGGCTTACATGCCTGAATCTAAACAAGCTGGTGAAATACAATTATCAACCATTGCTGCCAACAAGTCCAGATGTGTAACTTTGTGCAGGTGGGTGATTGAAATTGTAAATGGGAGATTTAAACGGGACTTCAAATTATTTCGTCAGGAATATTTTAATACTGCATCTACTCATCTCATGCTATACTTTAAAATTGCAGCTGCATTAATAAATCGATTTCATACGTTGATTCGTAATAATTTTCATGCTGTAGAGATATTGGCAATTGCTCAAGCCAAACTAAACACTCCAAATAATTTAGCCTCCTACGTAGAAATGCACAATTTAAATAGAGTGAGAGTGCGATTTGCCAGCATTAATGGTAATCTTCCAGAGCTGGATAGTTTTCCTCAACTGACATTCCAGGATCTCATTCTGTTTAGTCTAGGAATTTATCAAATTAAACAAGCTCGTAGTTATTACGGGGAGCATGTCAGGGCTTCTGGAGAATATAAAATCGAGGTATACCTGCAATCTGTCCATGATTTTGGTCCAAATAGTTATCTATTGCGAGGTAGGATACAATCAAGGCACACTAGTAAAAAAACTTATTACACTTATATACTAGTTGACACCAACCCATCAATTGCTAACACTAGGGCTGCTCTTACTGGGTACTGTTGCAACTGTTTGGTAGGCAGACGCACTGTTGGCTGCTGTGCACATGTCATGTCTGTTGTCTGGTTTCTATCTTGGGCACGGCATCGAGATGAGGTTGAACCACCTGCATCTTTTTTAGATGATATATTACTTTCAAGTAATGATATTGAAAATGATGAATGATGATTATTAATCTTAATGCGTATTAATATTGTAATATAAATGATCATTTTTGCTATAGTTGCTTCACTTGTGGCAACCAAAGTTTTTTGTGGTATTCTATAGGAAGATGCTGCTCCCCATCTCCTAGTATTTTTATTTTATTCTGTCGACTTTAACGACACCATACGGGACGGAACGTGATGGCAATTCACGGAAGGCCTCTGTAATATTTTACATTATATCTTTAATTTAGGAGCCATATGTTCGGCAGTGGACTGTTGTAATGATGATGAATAATGATCACTAAAAATTGTAATTTTTGTTGCTTATTTGAACTATTTCTATTTTACTGTGTGTTTTATTATCTGTTATATATTATGTTATATGTGTAATTTATAAATAAACGCCGAGCAAAGTTGAATTTATTGCTTTGGCACCCTTTTTTATCTCTTTTTAATTGACAATATCCTTCTGATTTCTAATAATATCGTAAACGGGCGAGACATTATATTTTAATGATGTATGGGATTTATACTTGCTAATAGATGAATACTTTAATGAACAAAGGGCCGGCACTGCACCTGTCTGCTGTGTTATTTTTAAAAGAGGACTCATAAAACACTGACGATTTTAACCATAATTAATGCAGTGATTATACATGATCTTTGGGACTTATTACATATCAATATCGTATCATAAATAGAAATGTTACCATCAAGTTATTTTGAAAAAATCTTTTAATATGATCTTTTGATATGAAAACACGAAAAATGTTTCTACCTATGTCCGTTAGAAACCATCCAAGCGATTTTGATGATATGTTTATGTGTGTTTGAACGGGTCTCTATATGATTCATATTCACATATGGACTCGGTAGGTGGCGCTGTTGTCGAAATCCAGAAATCACCTGTGCGAAGTCGGGGCGGATCGCTAATAATAAATACAATTAAACTATACCTGTGTGTTTGTTATCCTGGCACAAACAGTTCAAAACATCTTACTTCCTCACAATTTATCAGTGTGTAATAACAGATAAGCATGATATTACCTAGTCATTTTGGTATTTTAGAACCCAGTCATTTTAAGATGTATAATTAGGTATTTAATAATCAACCAAAGCATATTAAAAAAAGTCTTGACACCGGGCCTGTCTGTCTGTCTGCATAAATAGATCTGAATTATATGTCTGAATTATATAGACTATGTTGGAAATGATGATTTACCATCTATAAATACGGTTGCATTATAACTTGTTTTTTACACAGTCAGTTTAAAACATCTTTCTTACTATATAACGTGTGTTGGTAATATTGTAAATATAAATGGATATATTATACCTTAGTCATCTTGAATTTATTCATATTATTTTAACGGTAATTGGGAAGTACACTCACAATCAATATATGTAAAAAATTGTATCCATACCACATTTGTACACAGACAGGCACTATATTTTGCCGTAACTACTAAAAATATTGAAGTACCTGAAAATGCTGAATGTACCTACAACTTGGTTTTATATGAACTATTATTCAACAGTGCACTATTTTAACTTAAAATACCGGTAAAAACCACTATAAATAGCTTTTAGTTTATTTATAGGTTATTTTAAAATTCATATTTTAATTGTCAATTTCTCGATTTTCCGTCTAGATGTGGTAAAACTAATATTACTTTTGTAAACTATAAATTATAAGGAATAAATCGACATCCATTTCATTGCGTGACGCGAAAATTTGTGGTGGGCCCATTCTCCATACAAAAATTGATTGTCTCCTTTATATACAACTTGACGCTCCTC